ATATATATTATTCTGAAATGGACCAATCTGCACAACGACTACTTTTACTGTCGCTACTTTCACTATATTTTGATGATAATACTTTTCTACTTTCACTTGAGGAACATTTTGAATGCAGGACTTTTACTGTAACAGAGTATTCCTACACTCTGGTACTTCTACTTTTACTCAAGAACAAGATCTGTGTACTTCTACTTTGACTCAAATACAATCTGAGTACTTCTACTTTCACTCAAGTACAAGATCTGAGTACTTCTACTTTGACTCAAGTACTCAGATCTGAGTACTTCTACTTTCACTCAAGTACAAGATCTGAGTACTTCTACTTTTACTCAAGATCTGAGTACTTCTACTTTTACTCAAGTACAAGATCTGAGTACTTCTACTTTACTCAAGATCTGAGTACTTCTACTTTTACTCAAGTACAAGATCTGAGTACTTCTACTTTGACTCAAGATCAAGATCTGAGTACTTCTACTTTTACTCAAGTACAGATCTGAGTACTTCTACTTTTACTCAAGAACAAGATCTGAGTACTTCTACTTTTACTCAAGTACAAGATCTGAGTACTTCTACTTTTACTCAAGTACAAGATCTGAGTACTTCTACTTTTACTCAAGATCTGAGTACTTCTACTTTCACTCAAAGATCTGTACTTTGACTCAAGTACAAGATCTGAGTACTTCTACTTTTACTCAAGTACAAGATCTGAGTACTTCTACTTTTACTCAAGTACAAGATCTGAGTACTTCTACTTTTACTCAAGTACAAGATCTGAGTACTTCTACTTTTACTCAAGTACAAGATCTGAGTACTTCTACTTTTACTCAAGTACAAGATCTGAGTACTTCTACTTTTACTCAAGTACAAGATTCTTTTGACACAGGACCACTTACAGAATATTTCAAAACATGTTGTTGAATCATTAATTGTTCTACATTTACAAGCACACAACCCATTACATATATACATTACATCACTGCTGAATTAGATAATCAACCAAAGAGCACAAAAAGTGACCATCTCAAGTTAAAGAAGAAGCTACTGTTTACAGATTGCAAATAATTTCACAGAAAAAGCGTAAATTGTACAACGTTTAATATTTACTACTTCATTTCAAAGCAGACTCCCAGTACGTAAGGGGCAGCTCTCTGTGTCTTATTTTGTTCAGTCTAATAATGCCTGTGTTTCTGCAGATGGAGAACTACACTAAAGCTCGGACGCTGGAGCATCCGTCCGTCTGTCCGTTCCTCGACCTGCCCCCCGACACGCCGGAGGTCCGAGTCAAAGACGGCAGCAAGATCCGAAACCTGCTGCGCTTCTGCCAGAGCCGCATGGAGGCCAGACCCCGAGCGGCGGAGAAGGAGAGGCGACCCGGACCTGAGGAAGGAGGAAAGGAAGCTCCGGGACGTCAGGAAGGACGACAGGAAGCTCCGGGACGTCAAGAAGGCCGACAGGAAAGACGACAGGAAGCTCCGGGACGACAGGAAGGACGACAGGAAGCTCCGGGACGACAGGAAGGACGACAGGAAGCTCAAGGACGTAAAGAAGTACAACAGGAAGCTCAAGGACGTAAAGAAGTACAACAGGAAGCTCCGGGACGACAGGAAGGACGACAGGAAGCTCAAGGACGTAAAGAAGTACAACAGGAAGCTTCGGGACGACAGGAAGCTTCGGGTCAGCCGCTCTGCACTCACATCGTGTTCACGGCGAGTGGAAAGGGCGTGTCCAAAGCCATCTCGTGCGCAGAGATCCTGAAGCGGCGCGTGGGCCGGCTGCACCAGCTGACCCGGCTGCAGTTCGGCTCGCTGGAGGAGGTCTGGGAGCCTCTGGAGCCCGCAGCCGGCCTGGAGCCCCTCACCGTCACCAGGAAGCAGCCCAGCCTCTGGATCCTGCTCTCCAGGGAGCCGCTGGACCACAGCCTGCCCGGGTACCAGGCGCCCGGACGCTACGACGCCCTGTGGGCTCCAGAGGGCCAGGGGGGGGACGGACAGAAGCAGGGACACAAGAGGAAGAAGGGAGAGAGAGGAGGAGAGAGAGGAGGAGGGGGGGTAAGAGGAAGAGGAGGAGGGAGGGGACCAGGGCGTCAGACTGGACGCTCGTAGAGGAAACTGAAGGATCGAGTTCATCTCTAACAGACTGGTCGACAGAAAGAAGATCAAACGCTTCTTAGGAGCTGTGGAGTTAGTTTCCAAAGCCTACCGGTGTTGATTTGTGTTCCATATATATAGTCTATTTTGAAAAATCAATACTGATGTGGCCGGCAGGTGCAACAACGGCAGATTATTATATTCATTTACTGCAGAAATAATCGTTTTCCAGCCCCTCTCTGATCTGGAGATTTGCTGCTTCCTCCGCTTTCTATCATAAGGGAAGATCTTTGGACGTTTAAACACTTTGGACACGACATGGATGCGTTTCAATATCTTCTGACATTTGATCATTTATTACGAACAGCAAGTCGTTACAAAAGTCTCAAGACAACTTTTTAGGTTTGGGAATTAAATCAAATTTCATCAGGTTTTATCTTTTGTATTTGATTTGTATTCCTGTGTTTGAATTCTCTCGTTAGAAACATGCTGTAATTATTATTTTTTTGTATGTGTGCTGAAAATGTGTTTTTGAAATGAGTAAAAAAAGATAAAATAAGGTTTGCTTTATTCTAAAGTTCTGTTCCTAGTGTTGTTTTTTTACAGTGTATATCAGTATGTAGTGTCTCTACTTTAAAGAGTCCTCTCCTGCTGATGTTCAGGTGTATATCAGTATGTAGTGTCTCTACTTTAAAGAGTCCTCTCCTGCTTATGTAACAGTGTATATCAGTATGTAGTGTCTCTACTTTAAAGAGTACTCTCCTGCTGATGTTCAGGTGTATATCAGTATGTAGTGTCTCTACTTTAAATCTACTTTAAAGAGTCCTCTCCTGCTGATGTTCAGGTGTATATCAGTATGTAGTGTCTCTACTTTAAAGAGTCCTCTCCTGCTGATGTTCAGGTGTATATCAGTATGTAGTGTCTCTACTTTAAAGAGTCCTCTCCTGCTGATGTTCAGGTGTATATCAGTATGTAGTGTCTCTACTTTAAAGAGTCCTCTCCTGCTGATGTTCAGGTGTATATCAGTATGTAGTGTCTCTACTTTAAAGAGTCCTCTCCTGCTGATGTTCAGGTGTATATCAGTATGTAGTGTCTCTCCTTTAAACNGCGACGCACATAAAGAGGCGACGTGGGGTCTGCGGCTGAAAAGAGAAACCTGAAAGTGAGACATATGAGTTAAATCACTCAGTGAGGTGTTCTGTCAGAGAGAGGTGTTTAGCTTACAGCAGCCTGTGACGGCCAATAATAATTTAAATGTCTTCCTTACTGTAAGCAGTTATGAAATACCTGTTTGTGAAAGGTTATTTGTTTTCTTTATTGTTCAGATAGAAACCACTGCTTTCTGCTCACTGGTGAGTTAGCCTCTGAGTGTTAAGCACATCAGGCTGGCAGCTGTATGGGCATTGCTCTATGGTAGCTGTTATTTGCACATTGTTAATCATGAGCAATGCATCCTTACATTGTTTAACTGTGAGGTGTTATACAATTGTACTCTGGAGAGCTTTTAAAGGTAAAAAAATAAACGGCATGATGGGATGTGCAGTACCAAATATGTAAAGCACTTTTTTGTTAATCTATGATTTGCTGCATATAAGGAATAAAACAAAAATCCTCTGTCGTACCATATTGAAGTATCATTATTTTTGCATCGTGTTGAATCGCATCGTATCGCCCCGAATCGCATAATGTTGAATCAAATCGTATCAAACTGTATCGCAACAGGGGTGAATCGTATCGTATCGCATCGCCTGGTGTTTCAAAGGTATCGTTAATGTATTGTATCGTGGCAACGTATCGAGATGCGCATCGCATCGGCCTCAATGATGGAGATGCACATCCCTAGTGTGTTGAAGATGTTTAGGGGGAAGGAGTATGTGTCCTGTCAAAGAGTCCTCTGTCATGACTCCAAATCATTGATTGGGGGATCTGCCTGAGGGCAGAGGGACAGAAACACACACACACACACACACACGCACAGAAGCAACATGGAATCAACAAACTGACTTACTACCTGGGATCCCGCCCAGAAGGGCAACCGACCAATGGAACACTGCCAACTCACTGTCTAGCTTGCTCAGAAGTGAACTCTGTGTATAAATGTTGTGATCATTTTGAAGATCGGCGCTCTTGTTTTTGACTTGCCGTTCCTGAGACGTGTCTCACACGGTGGTAGAACCTGAGCCCAGACTACTCTGCAGAGTGCTTCGTGATTCGGTGATGTATTTGTATGTTTGCACCATTAAAGCAGATTATTGTTTAACCCTTATCCTGGCTGCTTTGAATTTTTCCTTTTTTTGAGAACCCGCTCATATAGGAACGGCGCGGAGCAGAGATTCTGCCCCAACAGTGTATATCAGTATGTAGTGTCTCTACTTTAAAGAGTCCTCTCCTGCTGATGTTCAGGTGTATATCAGTATGTAGTGTCTCTACTTTAAAGAGTCCTCTCCTGCTGATGTTCAGGTGTATATCAGTATGTAGTGTCTCTACTTTAAAGAGTCCTCTCCTGCTGATGTTCAGGTGTATATCAGTATGTAGTGTCTCTACTTTAAAGAGTCCTCTCCTCTCTCTCAGTTTGAGGTGTGAAGCTCTGAAAGATGTGGTTGTTAGCAGACGTTATTCGACCGTTGGCTGAATGAAAGGACCTTTGTGTCTCCAGATGAACTCTCTGTTCAGCAGCTCTCACAGCGCTCTGGAAAACCCTCTCTAACAGTGAAGGTTCCTGCAGTCTGAACGTTTACTGCTTAATTCCTCCTGAACTGGAACATCAGCTGTTAAATCAGCTGTTAGGAGACATTGCACAGGAGGAAAGAGAAATCAATAACTCATACATATCAGTGCAGTAACACAGATATGCTCACATTATCCAGTTCTTGACACCAACACTAAATTATTAATGTTGAGTTTAATTTGACTTATTTGGAGTTTTGAATAGAGTCAGACGAACTCTATGAAACTGGGACATTTCTTATAATGTTCTGACATTATACATGTAATCTGCAGATGAATGGATAAGGAAATAATGTTAGTTTTAGCCAGGATAATCAGCATTAAAATGTGTTATTATATAAGTGTTTCTGTGGAGCATTAAGCGGCTACACTTACCATTCATTCCAAACCTTTGTTGTAAAATGGCAAATCAATAATTATGATACTCAAACATGAATTAATAAAGCACTTTAAAAAAATGTATTTTCGTCTCGAGTTTAACAGTCAAAGGTAATACTTTATATTAAAGGTGGGGTAGGTAAGTTTGAGAAACCGGCTCGAGATACACTTTGTGTTATATTCCATGGAATGCTCTCAACATCCCGATAGCAATGAATATCTGAAGTGCTTTGACAACAAATCAATAAAAAAATTAATCTCTGGAAGTCGTGGCGCTATAAAAAGCACGACCAATCATCTGAGCCGGCTAAAGTAACTGGATGGCCTACCTGCCTGTCAGCCTTCCATCTGTGCACAAACTTATCTCGTGCCCTCATTGGTCATGTGCGCGTTCCTGTGTGTTGGAGGAGGGGCTCTGTGAGGAAGTGGCAGATTTTTTCCGGTTGTGTATTTTCTAATTCTAGCGCACTCGAGCTGGCTTCTCCAAAATTACCTACCCCACC